GGAACTGGGGGGGAAGACAGAAAGAATCCTTATAGTTTGCAAAAAGGACATAAAGGGAAGAAAAGCACAGCTTATTTCATTTTTATCTCCCTTTCCCTTCCCTACTGTAATGAAATGCAATTTTCACCAGCAGATTGTTGTCATTTTGCTGAAGAAAAAAATCAACAGTTTTGGCCAGAGAGGATAATTTGGTTTTTTTTTACCCTATTCCTGACAAGGAGCTGTTGTGTTCCTGGTAGCGCTGTGCCTTGGAAGGCACCCAGGCTCCAACCTCCATGCGCTCCAGTGTGGCTCTCCCGCACGATGCCTCCTTGCTGGGCTCACCATGGTACTCAATACAGTGAGAGAACTGGATGGGTGCTGCTGCGCCCAGTTGTGCTGCATCCTTGGAATCTTCTCCCTGTGGTCGCTCTGTATGTCTCTATTGGGACTTCTTCCCAATGCTTCTTGTTGCAAGGGAGTGTCTCAGCACTGACAAACGTGGTTATCATCCTCTCAGCCCTCACAGGATTCTCCATCTCCAGGCGGACAGCCTCAGGTTCCTCCTATGTTTCTTTTCCACCATAAACCGTGAGCCAAAACACCCTGGTTAAAGGCTACAAGCTGAATTCTCCAATTCACCATTGACTGCAAAGAGATGATTTCTCCTTTTCCTTCTTCTTCCCCTCATTCCCTCCTCTCTGGCACAGGACAATTACCACGGCTCCCAGACACACACCACAAGCCCCTTGCCAGCTGAGCCATTTCACCCTGTCCTTGTTGCAAGCCGTGCTGGGAAGCCCATAAAGCACAAGGGAGGGATAATTACTAGTCCCAGCACTGCGATGATAATTAATACTCTGCTAAAAGGAGCGCTTGTCAGGTCAGGGAGCAGGAGGAGGGATGGGAAAACAAACAGGCAAAGATAAATCCCGAGCAAAGGTTTGCTGTGAGGAAGGGGCTGGGGACAAGGGGCAGGAAGGAGGAGCGGTGAGGTGCAGGTATCCAGGGCGATGGGAATGGGGTCTGTGCTCTTGGAAAGCTAGTGTTTCACACCCGTGGGTGCGCTGTTGTGGAGCTTTACTCTGCATTGTATCACAGAACCCAGTTCCATCCTCCTTCAGCACTAAGGGACAGGAAAACCCTGCAGCCAGCAACACACCAAGCCAATCTGGACCATAGTTGCCCCACTGGGGAGGTGAGAGGAGTTGGGTGAAGTCCCCAGTGTCCTCTCAACCAACAATGGAAAAGCTCTTTGCATGGTGGGTCCTGGATTGGCCAGGGTTTGCCAGCCAGGCTTCTGCATGCATCTTGCTGCCTGTGTGTGTCACAAGGACTGGAGGTGAGTTTTGCTCTCCTAATGTTCACTTCTAACATAAAACTCTTCCCTGGGAAACCATTACTATTCCATTTTCTGTCTAAAAGCTATGTGTGGTATTTAGCAAACAGCTTTGATCTCCAGCCCAAACCAACTCCATCCCTGAGTGAGCATCCCACAGACCTCACACCAGAAAAGCGGGATATCCAAACAAGTCAGAGCATCTACTCATCCCCCTTTGTGCACACAGAGAGCTCCTCGTACCCTGAGTTATAGTTTTCCCCTCTTCAAAGCTTTCTCAATTTAATACTGATTTCACCATTCAGGGGACATCAGAGTCCACCTTTTAACTGAGGTTGGAGAAGGAAAGGTGGAAGAAATATAAAGAATTCCATGGTAGCAATGGGGAGCTTGAAACCTAAACATCATAAATCAAAACTCAATAAATCTGAGTGAGGTGAAGCATAAGAAAAGGGAGGGTGTCAGAGAAATGTGGGCTTGGGGTTTTCCTTCTGTTCAGCCCTGGGGTTTATTCTTCTCTCCCTCGGTCTCATCACCTGAATGATCAGCAAACCGCCTCCATAGATGCTGTGTATCAGCCTGTTCGCAATGGAGTTAAACCAAAAAAGGCAACCCATGGTAAAGGGTGAGAGAAGCAGAGGAGTGCTGGCAAGGGAGAACAATATGTTTTCAGACAAGCTTTAAAAAGGAATGTTATGTTAATACGAGTTTGGCGTCACACTGTCATAACACCATCAAAATGACATGCTGCCACCACTAATACAACTGTTTAGGGAATAGGCAACACGAACAAAAAAGCAATTCAGTTAGAAACAAACTGGGATGAGTCTATACTGTAAGAAAACAGAAATACGCTGCAATCCAAGGGAGTACCAGACAAATGCTCTGCAGTTGCCGCTGACAGTGATGCAAATGGGAAGCAGAAGCTCTGAACAGAACTTGCTCCTTGTTTTCCATGACCTCTTAGCCTTCGCTGGGATAATCTGCTCCTAGGAGAGAAACAGTTTAAGGACAGCTGTTCTGGCATTAATTAAAAAGCCCTACAGTCCTTCCCTAATAGACCCACTTTCCTCCTAAGATCTTTTTCCTCCATTTGCTTTCGTACCTGTCCTTAATTAAGTCCAGTGAGAGGAATTCACTCCTTCAAATGTGTTAAAAACGGATGTTCTCAAGGCACCTGCGTCTGAGGAAACTGATTTTTTGAAGCCCATGAATTACATGAAGAGGGGACATTTTCAAGCTGAACGCTCCCTTTTGATGAGCACAAACGAGCTGCTCTATGTTAAAAACCATTCCTCTTGCTTTTCGAGCTCATTTGGCAAGAGCTCAGCTGGTAGGGTGCTAAATAGTCACTTGAAGGACTACAAGCCTAGAGCGCATTGAGGATGAGTCCTTCAGAAGGGAGATGCAGCATCACTTCACCTGAGGATGCCCCTCTCCAGGGATAGCTATGGAAACACGCAGCCCGGCAGCGCTGACAGAGGCTTGTTGACCAACAAGATCCTGGCACAAGCCCTGTGGCTCAGCCATGGCAACAGGGCCGGTGGCGCGGCGGCAGCTGCTGCTGTGCACAGGGAAGAGCTTTTCAAAATACCACGGCTCAAACCCATGACAGAACACAAAAATAGCAAATAGGAGAGAAAACAAGGCTGCGTGTGAAATAGAAGCCAGGAAGGATGTTAGGTACAATTATAGCTATTGCCTGCCCCAAATCTTCCTGGACTCCTCACTCAATGCGTCGTCACTACGCACAATTCAAATGCTATTTTTTATTTGGTCAGAAAATGTCAAATTTCCTCCTTATTTTTCTTTTTTTTTTGGAATTCTTGATAATGTGATCAGAATTAAAGCTGAGTTGTATCAGACTAAGGCCAAAACATTGGGATTTGCTGGTCTCCCAGGCACAGGTTCCCAGCCCAAAGCTGCCCCCACACCATTATCCCTTTAGCCCCAGCCCCTGCAGAATCAGCCCATGGGGTGCAATAGGAAATGCTTATCGCCTCACTCCTCATATAAATCTGATAGATTTATACTCCCAGGTATAAATCTGATAGAATATGTCTTAGAGCCTTTCTGAGGGGCACCTTTAATGATAATTCCATGCCTCTTGTCAGAGCCTGCAGAGAAGGTGCTCAATCAAGGAGGGGTGATGCAGGGGGACAAAGCGTAAGCTTCTCCAAAGCCACCCCATCTCCAGCTGAGCCTCGAGTGAGCTAAATTCATTCCCGGTGTCAGTCCAGTGAAGCACACAATTACGCAGGCAAGATTTTGGGCTGTGCTGCCTAGTTCCGTTAGGCCACCCCACCAGGAGCTGCAGAGATTGCGGCCAGGAATTTGCTTATGGAAGAATGAAAAATTGCCCCCTTCAATCTCTTCCTTCCCACCTGCTGGGTTTTAGCTCTTAAAAACCTGACAAACAAGGCAGGAAGGTTTGCTCCGAGAGCTTTGACCCGTGGGTTGGTTTCCTCAGCTTGCTAACAGCTGAGCATTTCAGAAGAGCAGGTCTTTGCCATGCGGGATGAATTACCCGTGGTACAGCGGATCCGCACAGCGGTAGGCTGGGTTCTGCTGGAGCTGGGCATTTGCCATGCTTTCCTAGAAAAGCTCTCTGCTGCTCTCCTTGCAACATTAATTCTGAGCAACAGAGGGGGAATGAAATGTACGTTTGAAAGCAAGCCACAAGGCAGAGAGCAATATTTAGCTTTCCTCTCCCAGAGGTCTCACCTGTGTTGGCACTGGTTTAAAGATGTTAGAATGGGATTAAGGGGCTAAATCAGATGTTTTATTAGTTACAGGAGCCCATTTTCCTTGCTAAATAATTGAATGTGTGCGCTTAAGGCAAGAGTCGAGGCTGGCTGCTGAAAGGGTGCCCGTGGAACTCCAGGCTGAGATTTCACAGGGGATCAGATGGAGTGTGCAGCATCAGCCTGTCTGTGAAGACATCTGGGTCTTCTGTCACCTGGAGTGGATGCTGCATGTACCTGGGACATTTCCGACAAGGATTTACATGAGGAGATGAAAAGGTCTGCAATTTCTTTAAAGGAAATACGTTTTCTTCTAAATAAGAGAACAGGAGCTGAACTTCTGTCTTCAAAAAGGGGGTTGGTTTGTCTTTTTGTATGCCAAATGTGTCTGTGATGAGAATTCAAAGGCCTGGTTAGCTTCAGGTCTTTATGTAGCATTATCCAGTCCAGGAGACAAAAAAGCTGAGAAACTTGAAGCAAAACCATTCTTATGAATATTTCAACTATTCTGCAGGTTTAATAAATTAAAATACTTCTGCAAATACTTTGGAGCTTATTCATCTCTGGTAACACTTGGTACCTTATTATTTCTAACTGAGCTACAGAGAAAAACACATTATTATGGATTTTGTGGTAGATCCTCCAATTTATCAACCTAAAAAGATTTCCGAGCAATAGAGACTTTCTGTGCAAGTTAATATGTCATAGGCTATTTATCACCTGGGGTTTGCTGAGTCTGCATTCCTAATCAATGACTTGACAACCTGAGTTAGGGAACACTTAAAGACGATATCCGTGCAAAGTAAGGGATGTGGCTAAAGCAGGTTTGGCCTCCAGGAGAGGACACTGGGCACTTTGGTCACCCAAGATATCTTGTGCATATGTGGTTGCATTGCCCAGAGGTGGCAGCAGCAATAAAACCATGATTTCCTCACCTGAGTAAGCATTACTCCTGCAGAAACCCACAGGAGCAGACAGAAATATCCCAGGACTCAGCTGATGGTGGAAAACTCTGGATTCCAAGGTGTATAATCCCATTCTGCCTCCTTCAGCTCTCCATGGGGCCACGGGTGATGTCCATCCTTGCAAGCATTCATCACATCCCTGCCTCGGTGATGCTGCTTTTGTTTCCTGGCACCTCTCCCAGAGGTGGCTGCCTCTGCTGGAGGTGAAGGATGACAGAGTACACAGGGTGTTATGGGCACTGGGAGGCTTAACACACTAAATAAATGTAATGAATATATATGATTTCATTTCCCTCCTACCCCAGACGCATTTCTACACTTTCATTTGATCTCGCTGATGTACTGCAGCCTCGCTCTGTATAATCTACACAAACTCCATATGCCACGGAGTGGAGCTGGGAAACTTGGCAGGTTGGAGCTTCAGGTGAAGGAGACCCCAGCACCACCCATGCATGAACCGGGAGCTGGCAAAGTCCCACGTCCCACTGCATACCTGCCCTGAAAGCCACGGGGGCTGCAGCTTCCCATCCCATCCTGTTTCATCCTATCCCATCTGCAGCCCCAGTCCACATGTGCTGTGTGGGGCACGTGCGCTGCAGACCTAGGTACGTCAGAGCAAGGCAGGTGTTTCCACACACGTTACAGGCTCACGGGAGGGACAGGGATGCTCAGGGGATGGGTGCTGCATTCAGTTCAGCAGAGGAAACCCATCCTTCAGCCCATGATGGATTTATTCCCGTGACCCAGCGAGTGGAGGTCAGGAGACCCTGACAGAAACCAAATGAGAAATGGCATCTTTCAGGAATTCCTGCAGTAACCTCTTTTCCCCTCTGGCTCTGACACCTCTCCTATCACACAGAGCCACAGTGGAGGGGCTGGGCAGAGAAACACCCTTACTCACCTTGGTGCTTGCTCTTGGCCATCTCCTCCCAGCTACGACCCAAAGTGCTCCTCAAACTTTACATGCTGTTGGGGCAATGACGCCGGCATCCCCCATTACCCCTGCGTCGGTTCACGCTGCTCCTTACAGCTCCCGCAGCTGAGCAGTGAGTTACGTCTGAAATAAAACAGATGCATTAGAAATGACTTTGCCCAGAAGCAGAGGCACGGTGCAACCTTGCACGCTCTTGTTTAAGTCCGTCTGTCAAAGCCCCCCATCCCCATTGGGGATGCACATCTCAGCTAGCTGCTATGGGTCCCTGTTTAAACCCCGTCTTGGGAGCCCCTAAATACAAGGCAGCACGTCCATGAGTACAAATCATCTGAGCCCCACAGGGCAAGGACTGAGTCCTCTTCCCCTTAACCCTTCCAAACCGTCCCCGGTTACAAGGGGTGAACGCATTTAGGGGCAGGGTAATTTATTGCACCCATTTGTGACGAGGACGGCGTGCTGTCAGTCAGAAAGCAGAGGAAGAAACGAATTAGCTGCGTTAGTTTTCTTCACTGCTTAATTGTTCCTGAGAGGCTGAGTTCTGGGGAGGGCGATGAATCATTGTTTGTGAAATATTTCTTCCAAGAAGATGACTTGAAAAATACATTTATAATTTATCACAACCTCTCGCGTTCCCGGGGAACGGCAGCCAAAGGAGGAAAGTTCCTCCCTCCCCCCATTCATTATCGCTATAATCTTATCTCCTGCACCCTCTCCTCACCCTTTGAATATTACATCTCCTCCCGCTTGTGTGCCGAGGTGTAGCGGGGGGAAGCCGGCGGGGAGGGGGGGAGACTGGGAAAAATCATCACATATTTCAGGCTGGCTCTATTTAAATGAGTTTGGGATTGTGCTTCTCTGGAGCAGATGGCCCTGGAGATAATGATGCCTGAGCAGCGAAGGCTGGAGCCCCTCTCTCCTGTTGCCATGGCAGGCCACGGGGCTGAAATGGATTCTGCTTATTAAATTTGCGAGCTCTTGTGTACTCAGGATGAATGGCGTGCAGTCATAAAGAGGCCCAACCTCCTCATGGCGCTGGATAGTTTTATCTTAGAAAGCCAGGCACTCTAACTCTGCCAGACGAGGGTCTCATTAACCTATTAACAGCAGCCGTGGAGGAGCTCAACCCACAGGGGCTTTGAATGGGGAGAGCAGGGTGTTTCCAGGAACGTGCCGAACGCCGGCGTTCCTCGTGGCTTAAAACCCCGGGTGAGGGCGGTCGATCAGCTGTTGGCTCAAAAAGGGGAGAGCTTCACTCAGCACACAGGCACCCACGTGCTTCCCACACGTGTCTGTTTGGGACATAACACCACAGAGCCCAGCGGAGCATCCGACGCCACCGCTACCTCCCATATGGAGTTGGGGATTCACCAAGGCAGTGATGCTCGCACTCAGGTTTGCTTCGTAAGATGTGGTGAGGCTTAAAGTAAACCATCAAAACTTGATAAAACCAAGTTTAGCAGCAATTTGAAGCATAGGATAGCTGGGATTTTACTTTCCACTGTACTTTTCTATAGAGCTGCTTTACAGAAACGTGCCGGTGGTTTGGAAGAATGGCAATTTGATGTGCAGTGAGGCAACATGCATTACATTAGGATGCAGTTAACTTTGATTAACCAGAGGTTGGTAAAACAGCACTGCACTATATTTAGTTTCACATCACTTTTTTTCTACGTGTTATTATGCAAATTTTTGCACGAGCCTTATTTCAAATGCAACCCAACTCTGTTTTCTTCCCTGCTTAGGGGGAATCTGCATTCCTGCATGGCCAACAAGAGCACCTGACCGAGCTGTGCTCCTTGCTCTGGCAGCATCCACCTGCCCAACCAACCTCATGATATGAAATCATCACATCAAAGATTGCCAGCGCTGGGCTTTCATCCCCAGGACTAACATGGAGGTGAGGGCTGCTTGCTCTGGGGCAAATCTTCCCACTCTAAGAGGAGAAATCAGAGACCAAACGCTTGCAAACACCTCCATCGCATACTTACTGATGGACTTGGTGTGGTCTGTAGCTGTAAAGTTGGTGGGAGATTTTCCCCCATCACTGGAAAATATTGATTTGGTGGAAAGGGAATGGACCATAGTTGGGGTTGTAAATCTTCCTTCTTCTACAATAGCTAACAGGGAGCTTGGCCTCTTTGAGGCTTAAAGTATCTTGTCAGGTCACTGCAAACTCACACAGAAGGGACTGGAAATGGTCCAAAAACTCCTCCTCAGCTTCCAAACTCCTCGTCACAACTGCGTAAAAGACAGTCATTGAGCAGGGTTGGTGCAAATAATCACCAGTACTGTGGAAAGATCATCCTGGACTCTGAAAACGAAGCACAAAAGTCAAATCCGGACAAATTTCTTGGCATTCAATCCTCCTACCTTCAGGCCAGATCTCCAGGTTAATACTCCTAATGAGATAGTGGCAAAAGGGATGTTCACAAGAATTCACTTGGCAAAGCCAGCTGAATAGTTAGATTTAACACTGCTTTTCATTTCAGTGAGTGCTGAGTATCTACATCCTGCAGCTGGCTTTGGAAACCGTGGTCTGATCCAGGGCCTCTGGACATCTCTGACATCTCCCCCGTCAGCTGCTGGCCTCAGAGCGGCTCCTGCTGCCTGTGCATCTTTAAGCCGAGATGATATGAAATCTAACCCTCGCTCAATACCAGCTATTTAGAAGGCACTGCAGACCACAGGAACAGAAACACGTGTCCAGATTTTCACAGAGCTCTCAAAATACAGCCCCAGCAATGCCGAGTAGACGCAGTCTGCATTTTAAAAGGCTGGTTGGAAGTGCTGGTGTGGTGTTCATGCATTTACCCATTTCCAGCTGTGTCCCCCGGCAGGTTTCCTTACCTGGGCTGGCCACCCGCACTGGGCTATAGGCCAGCTTCACGGATGGGTTGGGTGCTAGCATGTGTAAGCCCAGTGTAGGCTGCAGGATTTACCCGGGGTCACCTTAGGAGGCTGCATGAGAGCAGAGGGCTGGAGCCAGGACTCCTGCACATCAGGTTGGTGCTCCCAGCCCTAACCCACCACCCTCTTTGTTCTGAAATCCCCATCACCAGGCAGGGTGAAGGAGAGGACAGGCAAAACGCTTCTGGGGCAGCTGCCTACAAGTGCAGACCATAGAAAAGGGATTAGCTCTGTCTTCAAAATGCAAATCCCCTTGACACACGCCAAGCTCGCAGGCACTCCTGGAGCCGTTTGCCCAGTCCTGACTTCCAGCTTTACACAAGCACGAGCTTTGCCAACTTAATGTCGGAGGTATGAACACCGGTGAATTAAAACGGAGCCTACAAATGAAAAGCCGATTAGCAGATATTAGAAGGACACCGAGATGAAGAGGCCACAGTGATGGAGAAAGGCTCCTCACCCCCACCTTAGTGCATAGCACAACCTCCTCCCTGATCTCGGTGGTTCCTTTGCCATGTCCTAATCCCCCTGCACACAGACAAGGGGATGTCAGTGGGAAGAGGGGCTTCTGCAGACTTGTCTCTGTCAATTTACACAGAAATTACACAGAACCTCAAGAAGAAAAGGAGATCACAGCAGGCTCCTTGCTCTCCAGAGCAGCCCTATGCAAGGTGACTGCAACAGGAAGTTTCCCATTGCCGTTAGGGAAAATACCAGAGGATTTATGGAGAAATGCGGCTGAAAGGCTTTCAGGTAAGCAGACAGTAAAGCTGTGCTTTAGCATCACTCTTACAGCCCAAACTTTCGCATTCCTACCCTGCACTCAGCATTTACACACATTTCCCTAACCTGGATGCTCATTAAACTGGGAGACTTGGGTTGCCAAATCATCACTGTCAACCAAGACCTGACTACCCATCAGATAGATAGACTAAACTGCTGCAAAGAGGTGGTGTTGGCCCAAGCCAGCAGGCGTTGGGATGGTCAATGAGAAGCTCTACCAAAGCCGCTGCAGTCTGAGCAGTTCACACAAAGCCAAGGGCAAGCAGAAAATCTCTTTCCCTGATCTCCAAAACAGGCTGAAATTCAAATGGGTCAAAAGGGCTTGTGGGAAGGGAAAGACCTGGTGACTTCTCATCAATATTAGTTATTTCACTTCCTTCTCCATCATCCCTTGATACAGCATTGCTCAGGGGAGGCCGTATCAGGTGAGTGCAGGAGTCCTTCCACTCATGGGCTGGCAAGGAACTGAAGGAGTGAGCAGGAGATGCTGAGATTGATGATCAAAGATCACTGCAAGTTTCCTGACAGTCAGTTTTACACCTTAGGATTTATGAAGGGAACAAGGAAAAGCCACTGGAGAAACACTGGCAAAGGCAAGTTTGAAACGCAGGGTAAAGATTGGTCTTTTCCCTCCCTTTGTTACTAAACAGTCAATTTGGAACCTGAGATTTTCGCACTCGTGAATGCCTCTTGTGTCTTCCCAAAGTGGGACATACCCACAAGCAATTTGGTAAATTGAAGCCAAACACTTCAGTCACAAAGCCAGCTTAACTTCACAGGGAAAACAAGGCCAGCATTAACCCGGCTTTCTTCAAGTAACGTTGCAGTTTTTTTTCTGTTAAGAAATAAATTACTGGCTCCGGGAGGAAGAAAGGAATCGCTTTGCTGTGATAATTGCAAGGCACACAAAAAAGGTAATTTCTGCCTGACTCCCATTTAGAGAACGGCTCAGCTTTCCCCAAACAGCCTTAGTTACCAACAGAAAGCAAGCACTGAAATATGCAAATATTTAAAAACCAGCAAGCAAAACCCTGGAGAAGAAGGAACAAAAAGGAAGAGGGGGAAGGGGTGTCCGCAGATACAGACACTGCAGGCTGGGGGCTGCTTTTCTGAAGCCTCCAAGAAGTTTTCTCCAGGGTCAGCCCAGGAAAACAATGGCTGGGGGACATGCTCCGAGGTCCAGCTCCCAAAGCATCCTATACCCACTTGAACCACCAAAGCAGATCGCTCCCGTGCAGGCTGTGGTGTGTGCAGAAGCCTCAGCCTGCCCTCACACCACTCTAAGCAGGGTATTCAAATGCTCCTTAGGCTTTGGTAGCAACACCCCAAAGAAGGGACAGCCCACACCTCTCACCTCTATCCCAGCCTGGATGAAGACCAGGTAGATATTCCAGCTCTGTTTTACACCTGGCTGACATTGAAGGTTATGTTCCAAATCATGAGACCTGCAGATTTCATCTCTTTAATCAAACCAACACCTATATTCCAAAGCTTTCATTCCAGTAACTTTGCTTGCCCTTGACAACAAGGTCTATGTCAAGTGACTGGTCACCCTTAGCCCAAGAAAGGACCATCTGCAAAGTGGTCTCACCTGGGGGAAAGCAGTTGGGGGGGTCCACTTTCTTTGCTTGTATATTGTTAATAGCCTCAATAAACTTGTGCTACCAATTACACCAAGAGTTTTCCCATTCCTAAAATGCTTTATAGGAAATTAAGGTTTTATACTGTGGGCTAGTGACTCCCAATGTAAATGGGACATGTTGGGGTTATAGTGCTCCCAACCTGGGCAGGTTTCAAGCTCAAAAGAGGCAGAAGGAAATATTCCTTTGGGAATTATTTGCAGAGCTGGGAAGGAAGTTCCTTGCACAAGAAAGAAAATGATGCAAATTCATGGAACAAAATATCCCTCAAAAGCAACTTTGTGGATAACAGAGGAAATGCTGGAGCTCCAAATCACTGTGATTAGGTAAAGGATTTTAGAGGAAGCATCTCGCTCTTATTCCCACTGCCATTCTGACCTGTACAGCCTGTTCCTATAGGGAGCAGCTCCTATGGATCTATCAAGCCCAAGCACATCCCTCCTTCCCCATCCCGCAGCCCATTCCCTGGGTATCCCATGGTGTCCGTGACACCGGGGAACCCTGTCCGAGGTGGGTGGGTGGCAGAGGCCGGCGCTCATGTGAACCCGAGGGGCTGGGTGCATTTTCCTCCCCGCACGCTGACACGGCTTCGCTTTTGTTTCCTGAGTAAATAGAAAAGCCACGGTGGCAGGAAGGAGAAAGGCGAGGCAAGGGCTGGGCGAGCAGCGCCTGTTTACAATGACAAAGGGGCTCTGCCACACTTCGGGGAGGAAATTTTCCTTCCAGACTTCAGGCCTCATTAAGTGAGTGGGCACAGCTAATAGGCTTTGTGTGCGAACGGCCCCAGCCTTGCAAGGTCCAGCTGTCACTGGGGCGAATGTCAAAAATAACAGCGGGCTCAGCCATTCTCCACCCCGCTCCGGCTTTAAAATCTCTCTTTCCGAGGGGGAGGAGCAGGCACTGAAAAGTAGCAAGCAATTAACGGGAGACAAAAGCAAATGGACCCGCAGGGGCTGATTGCGGGAGAAAGGGGGAAAAGTTCCCCTGGAGGTGGGGAAGACACAGAAGAGCTTGAAGAGCCCCCGTTGTCACGAAGAAACTCGTTGCAGTGATAAATGCACAGGCGGGGCTAGGAGGATGCTCAGGAATTGAGGGTCCCGGCGGTCCCCCTCCTGCTGCAGCCGTCTCCCTGCCACGTGTCTTCGCTCGCCGGTATCTCCCTCACAGATGGTGACTCCGAAACAGCGAGCGCATGTCTTCCCTCGGCTAATCCGGAGGTCAGGCTCCTCCCAGGTTTAGTCTCTCGCTGCCAGCAGAAAGCTGACAAAATTATGCAGAAATAAATATGCTTCTGTGTTTAACTTCTCTCTTTCACCCCCACCCAATCTCAGCCTGCCCTGAAATCATATTTGCATGCGTTTAGTTTATCCCCCCACTCTGTCTGCTCCGTCTGGAGGGAGACGCACACATGGCTCGTTTGAGGGTATTTGCGATGCATGCCACACATCAATGGGGAAAAAGGGTTTGAACATCTCCAGAACTTTAATAGCGTATTGGGTCTTGGCATCCACAGCCCCGCAGAACGTGCCTGCTGTATTTTTAGCTCACCTCGAGCTGACTTTGAGTTCAGGCAGCAGCATCACAAACTCCAGAGCTTGCCACAGTTTCTTTGTGCTGACGGATGTGCCTTTACTCCATACCCGCGTTTTTAAAACACGTGGGGTCATCCCTTCACTTTTACTGCTAAAGAGTGCATTTCCATCAGCCTTTCAGCCGTTGGGTCTCTGCATCAAGGCAGATTGTGCCTGAGCAGCCTGAACTCATGGTATTTACACAGCTCTTTGCTACTTCTGGGTAGAACACATGAGCTACCAGCAGTGGGTTAGGCATACCAGACAACTTAGGGGCCAAACCATGTCTTTAAAATGGAGAGGTGTTTTCTTTGGGAAAATCCTCCATATCCCATGTCTGGGAAATGGAATTCCTGAAACAAAGGTGCTTGCAGGTGTCTGCCTTAGCACAAGGGTTCAGACTACAAGAACAGTTTGGCCTCACAGTATCCCAGAAGATCAAGTTGGGGATTTCCTACCTGTAAGCCCAGGCAGAGCTCCAGGCTGCTGGGAAGGGCTGGGATGTGCAGCGCAGTGAGGTCAAGGCAAAGGATGCCTGCAATAGACACAGTCCCAGAGTTGCTCAGGGCACCTTCTCCAGAGCCCAGCAGCCTCAGAGAGGAGATGCTGACACACCTGATTCAATTCTGGCTTCAAACAGTGGCTGCACACTTTTCCCATGCCTCATTTCATTTCCCGTTTCATCATGCACAGATATGCTGCTATAAAACATAAAGAAATCACGTAAGAGGAAGTTTTGGGTCAGTTTGACACAAAATATGGCCCCAGAAGAGGTAAATCACGCCTGGAAACCCCGGAGGGCCCCTGAAAGTAGCGCAGAAATCTTGCCTGAATGAGGCTCTCAAAAGACACAACAATACACCTTGATGGGAAGGAAGCAGTGAGAGAGAGCCTACTCCAAACACATCTGCTCAGATCCAGGGTTCAGCTTGTTGCACTTGTACAGGGAAATCTGTGCAAACAAACAGTTATTGAATGGGTCAACGGAGCAGGGCGGCTGAAGGAGCCCAACAATGGGGCGGTTTATTCACTTAATGTATGCCAAGGCCATTCACCAGGCAAGCACCTCTTAAGGAGCCACGTGACAGACAGACTCAATTTGCCATTTGCCAAGGTCATGCAATTGGGATGCCGTGGACAATCTTGGATAACGGGAGGTACACGGATGGTGAGGAAGCTGCCTGGGTTCCAGTGCTTCCATGGTGCTGGGGTTTTGTTCTCTCTAATTGCACACTGGAAGGGGAGGAGGTTGCTGGGCTGCTCATTGAGATGCAGTGCTTTGTGGTTTGAGTGGTTTACCTTCACAACGCTTGGGAAGTCGATGTGTGTGTCCCCACATCGCCATGTGCCCTTCTTCCATTGCCTGTCCTTCCATTGCCAGCCTCATGTCAAGTGGGGTTTGGAGTCCAGCAGCAAAGGCAACGTGGAGCCAACAGCACCTGGGGAAGGACATGAAAAAGTAGGTGGTGAGCTCAGTGCTTTATCCATATGCAACCTCAGCGTTCTCCATGCTGCAAAACACCCAGAGATCCAGCTGTGCAAACAGAGGGTTTGACAAAGTCATCCTCCCCTTCTGCCCAAGGACCCTTCATGGCCGCTCACAGCTCCTCTGCCTTTATTTGCTGTTCAAACACAATTGATAGATAACCTTTCTTTAAAATAAAGCAAACAGACTGTTTATGGACCGCAGCAGTCTCCAGTTGGAGTTCCTCCAACCCTCCTGAGTGGGGGTGAAGCAATTGCAGGCTGTAGTTTTTCTCTGCTTGTTGATGGAGGTTTTGTTCAACCCTCCTTAGGCTGCAACATCATAGAATCCCAGAATGGTTTGGGTTGGAAGGGACCTTAAGGCTCATTCAGTTCCAACCCCCGGCCACAGGCAGGGACACCTTCCACTAGAGCAGCTTGCTCCAAGCCCCATCCAACCTGGCCTTGAACACTGCCAGGGATGGGGCACTGCTTCTGGTGAATACCCACCTTTGGCATGGGATAGGGACTCAAGGTGGTGGGGATGGGGTTTCACACTGTTTGCACACTCAGGTGGGATTGTGCTCCGGGTAAGGCAGTGCAGAGCACCCAGAGCTGCTGGACAGCCAGTGGGCAGGATCTAAACACCATTTTAAAGCATTACCCTGGATCTTCAACAAAAGACAGCAGGAGGGGAAAAGCATGAGAACAGGCTGATGGAGAAGAGGAGGAGCAAGAGAAGAGGCAGGAAAGGGAAGAAGGAGGAACAGAGAGGCAAGGACAATGTTGCATTTGGGGGACCATCCTGCACCTCCTTTCCTGCTTGGCTGGAGGCTGCTCCTGATCCCACACACACCAGGGTGGATGTGGTGACCGCTTTGCTGATGGGTCCCCCCAGCCTGTCACAATAAGGTGGAGATTGTTGGGGGTGCACATTGTGCATCCTTACCTCTTCGCCTTCACCAGCGATCCCCTTCCCCCTTGACGCTGAGATCCGCCAGGATTTCCTACGCATCTGTATGCAAATCACAGGCTGCCAGCACCAGGAGAGGGACTTTGTTCAGAGCATCCCTGGCACAGCTGCTCTGCTTCCCGGGGCCGGGCAGGAGCCGCTCTGGCTGCCTGCACTGCGGGGCTTGGGATATGGAAACACCAAGTAAAACATTTCATGATGTCAGGGAACGATCCATCCCACAGCCGTGGTAAATGCGGTGCTAAAGGTCTTGGATATGGGCAAGGGAAAATAAAACCTGCTTCTATGAAGCATTCAAATAAGGGAAGAGGGAGGTAGAATTATAGAATAGTTAGAGTTGAAAGGGACCTTAAAGATCATCCAGCTCCAACCCCACAGGCAGGGAGAAGCAAACGACAGAGCCAAGTTTGGGGAACCAAACGTATTGACGTGGCTCCTCGTGTCCAGCTCAGTGCCTGGCTGGGGAACAATCTGCTCCCAGCCTGGAACACAGATTCTTGCAGCTGAGACTTGGTGGCAGGACTTCAGTTCCTTCCAGCCCAAGAGACACAAAGCACAGCTCCCTCCCTGCTCCTACACACGATAGCTTTGCTTTTCTTCTGTATCTCAGCCAAAAACCCCCCTCCTTCTGCCTTCTCCTCGGGTAATCTTTTTCTGTTAGAAACCCACCACGTTCTCAATATAAAGCCCATTGTCTCAAAAACCTGTTTGTTTTCAGCAAGAAGCATTTACAGAGCCCCAGCGAGTTCCCAACAGCCTCTGCAAACACAGCAACCTGAAACACCCTGG